GGACAGCCAACACGGGGCGGACCCGCTGCCCTTTAATTATCAAATCTGAGAACACACCAGAGCCTAAACTGAGAGTAAAAGAATCAGTTAAAAGGGTGAGGGAACTGGGCCTGTTCAGCCGCGAGAGAAGGCAGCTGAGGGGATTTCATCGATGTCTATCAGTATCTGCAGAGGGGGGGCATAGAATGGACCAGGCCGTGGTGCCGAGCAATAGAACAAGAGGAACTGGCAGGAACTGATGCACAGAAAGTTCCTCCTGAACATGAGGAAAAGCTTCTTTCCTGTGTAGTGACCAAGCCCTGAACAGGTTGTCCAGAGAGGATGTGGAGTCTTCCTCACGGGGGATATTCCAGAAGTGTCTGGACACAATCCTGTGCAGTGTGTGCTGGGGTGACCCTGCTTGAGCAGGAAGGTGAGACCAGATGATCCACTGTGATCCAGCCTGACCCCTTCTGGGATTCTGTGGTTTTCTGCCATGTGGGGCTGTGGAGTCTGACCAGCACATATTCACAATGCAAGTGCACATCTCCACACTGAAAGTCTTCATCTGTTTTATTAACATGTGGTTACATCCATTCATTACACTTATATTCAATTTCCCTGTTTGAGGTGCAACACGAGCCTGACTATGCAGTGCAGCAGGGTTATTACTCACAGAATGGAGAGGTGGTTGCAGTGTTAAATGGTGACATGACATTTTCTGTTGTCTTTGTCCCAAATACCCAGTTAATAACAGAATCCTTGATCTCAGGAGCACTGCTTGAATCAATGCTCTAATTGTGGGTTATTTTCGTCCCAGTGTCTTCTCCCCCAGGGATGAAAACACCACAGAGTGATGAGATCTCCTCAAGGTGACTGAGGTGTGGCTGATACCAGGCCAAAGACGGGGAAGGGCAAAGTGAATCGTGCTTGTTGGTTTAGGGAAGGAATGTGAAGGTGACCCGAGGCTGGTTCAAGCCGCTTAGTGGATGAAGCAGAGCTGGAGACAGCGCTGGAGTTGGGAGTTGAGCAGCAAAGCCCTAGCCGGGACGGGATGGTCCGCACGGACAGAATGCAGATTTATCCATATGGAACATCACTTGTGTTGGGAATGAAGCGCCTAGTGCTGATGACGGCCTCTAAGCGGGGAAGTCTGTGAGGACCTGAGGACACTTGGGGAGGGCAAGGACACAGCCTAGCGCTGGGCACGCGTTTGGGAACAATCCCCGGGAAACGNGCGGCACCCTCAGGAGGGGCTGCTCGTCCCTACAGAAATGGGGAGGGCTGAAAAGAGCATGAAATAAGTGGATTCATAAGTCAGTTTTCTTGGCGTTGCCTTTGAGATGAGTTTTACAGTCTTAAAGGTGACGCCAGAATTGTGTACACCGCCACTTTTCCTGTTAAGCAGAACTTTGTGCAGTTCTGGCCGTCCCCAACACAAGGCCATGGAAATGTTGGAGGAGACCACGAAGTTGATAAGGGGATTAGAGCACCCTCCATATAAAGACAGGCTGAGAGAGTTGGGGCTGCTCAGCCTGGAAAACAGAAAGGTCGTGTGGAAACCTCAGAGCACCTTGCAGGATCTGAAGGGGGCTACAAGAAAACCAGAGAGGGACTCCTTATCAGGAACTGTAGTAATAGGACAAGGAGAAAATTGAAAGGGGGGAAATTTAGGCTAGATACTAGGGAGAAATTCTTCCCTGTGAGGGTGGTGAGACACTGGCACAAGTTGCTCAGGGATGTTGTGGATGCCCCAACCCTGGCAGTGCTCAAAGCCAGGCTGGATAAGGCCTTGAGAACTTGGTCTAGTGGGAGGTGTCCCTGCCCATGGCAGGGGAGGTTGGGAGTAGATGATCTCTAAGGTCCATTCCAATCCCTTAACATTCTAAGACTCCATAGAAGGTGATAAAAAAACCTGAAACAAGCTTTATTTTAATGTAATATTATTGGCATGTTAGTGTTACGGATATTCATCTTGAGAGGACTGATTCATGTACCACAGCAAGGAGAAGTGGAATCACTGAGCCCTTGGTGCTTCAGATCCTCATTTAACATGAAAATCTCTTCCTCCCTCTCAGGTTGAGGTGGATGCTGAAATTATCATCAAGGGTTTCTTCAACCTCCTGTTTATGCATGCTCAATAAAATTCTTTAAAAGAACATTGCCTGTTGAAACTACGGACACAAGTTTCAGTATAGAGCAGTTTAAAGAAATACAAGTCACAGCAGCCACGCAGCCATTTGTACTGTAAACATTTTCATTCTCCTTTCAATGTCAGATTTGAATTTGGAACTAGTCCTCCATTCAGTAAAAACGCAAACCTCTATCACCACCATTGTTATAACCAATTAAGGTACTCTCCCTGAACACACACTGCACAAGCAGTTGTATTTACAGACCAACTTCAGATGCACCTGAAATATCACAACAAATCAGATTCCCTGAAACCTGCCTGTGTTTCTAGGGAAACAGAACTTGATCAAGGTGATAATTAAGGATACCTGGGCTGTTTAGAGGATCACTCACATTTGAACCTGCATTGTCTATGACAAGTACGGTTTCTGCAGTTAAGGAGGGACTTTGACAAGGGGTAGTGGCTTCCCACTGACAAGAGAGCAGGGTTACCCGGGATGTTACAAAAAACATCCCCCCTGTGAGGATGGGGAACACTGGCACAGCTTGCCCAGAGAAGCTGTGGCTGCCCCATTCCTAGAAGTGTTCAAGGTCAGGTTGGACAGGGCTTGGAGCAACCTGGTCTAATGGAAGGTGTCCCTGCCCATGGCAGGGGTTGGAACAGGATGGTTTTTAAGGTCCCTTCCAACCCACACCATTCTATGATTCTACCCAGCACGGCTCAGAAGACTTAGCTGCAGGTACAGCTCCTAATCTGATTGCCACATCAGCAAATCCTTTGTTACTCTTGCAGGACAGAAACATCTAGAGATCCCCTGGCCATGCAGATGGCTCTTAATCCTTCTTCTCCTAAAACAAGAACAAACTAATCTTCACGGACATTCCAGAGAGACCTCATGCAAGACAAGCCTTTCCAATAACTGCTCTGCATTTGTGATTTCAGTGTAGGCCATGTTCTTTGGGTGTAAAGGGTACAGTAAGAACTCAGATCTCACAAAGAGGACAGAATAAAGCCAGCCTTTATCCTTGCAGACCGTACAGAATCAAATCCTGAGAGAACCGTTTACATGGAAGAGTGAAAGCAGATGCCTTGCTGAGTGCAGCCTTGCTGCTGTCAGAGGAAGGGTGCCTTCTCCAGCACTGCAGATTCCTCCACTTCCCTCAGCACTAGGTTTACAAGATTCTATTGCAGGAAATATTGTCACTTAAAAACCAGTATCCAGTGTCTTAGTTAGGAAAACACTTCAGGTGACCTGGATCATAGCAGAAGACAGCCTGAGGCAAAAGCTGGTCAGGCCTACCACATCTGACACAGCCATTACACCAGCCAAGAGCATCTTGCTTTTACAGTAACCTGCTCTGAGGGTGTCTCTTATCTGAAAGAAGCCTTTTCATTGCATTCTTCAGTTCAAAGCATCTCCTTTCCAGCAGCAACCAAAATCTCTTTCTTTTACCTGTCCCCATCCTTCTACACCAAGCTGGACCCTTCTCTCACAGCAACTTGATGTTCTGAACAGGGTGATCTCTGTGTCCACAAGTCAGTCCATTAGGTGTGACCAGTCAACTCTAAAAATAAAAGCCATTTCTTCTGAAGTTTTCACCATGCAAGTACTTCAGGGAGGCAGCTGCAGCTGGCATCAGATTGCAACTCCAGTTTTTTCAATGACTTCTTCCATGCGCTGGTACCAAGGCTGAATATTGGTGTGAGCCATCATGTCATCAAAGGCTTCCAGCCCTTCCATGACCCGGAGTACCCCGTACACTGCCTGTGAGAGCAGAGAGGTCAGAACAACACTGAGAAAGCAGTGGAGAATGGCTTAGGGTACAAGTGTCTCAGTAGCCGAGCCAGTATGGCTCTTCCCCTGTCCTGCCATCTGATCCATCCTTCTGATTAGCAAGGAGGAGTGAATGGCAGAAAGGTAATTAAGAATATGCATGTTTTTCCATGAGGAAATAGTAAGGATCAGGATCTATGTGCAGTTATGGGGAAGTCCCCACCATGTGGGAACTGTATTACTGCACAAAGGACAATATCTCATATAGCTCAGCTTCCCTGCCTGTACTTGTATTAAGCATTAACCATCTCTGTATTAACAGAGATGAGCAGCAGGATAATTTGTGATCCACCTGAAAATAACCAAAGGGATGAAGCCCTTACCAGGTCAGCGAGGTTCGGCTGGTTCCCACCCATGAACGGTCGATTTTTGCCAACAGCTTTCACCCACTCGTTAACTGCTTGATACAAATCTTCTCGGACATCATCTCGAAGCTGGTGTCTGCATAAAGAGAAGAATCAGTTTTTAACACACAAATTTGTTTCTTTCTTTAACCTTCTATCACCTCTCACCTTATGGGCTGGTCTTGGTTTGCAAGTAAGGGCAGTATTTCAGAGTGAAGGGGCAGTCAGTAATTAAATAGTGGATGAGTAGAGAGGTTCAGTACTTCCAGTTACAGAAGTACAGTTGTTACTCAGACAGGATTAAATGGTTCAGTTTAAAACTCTAGAGGTTCTGCTCTTTGACAGCTGGGGTTCACAGTAAGGAGGAGCTATTGCTCCTCTTGTGTACTTGGTGCTTAGTGATACCAACCTTTTCTTCAGCCTCTTGCTAACGAAGAACATGGCAACAGCCCCCACGTATTTGGCAAAGAGACCTTCCAAGGTGCCAAACTTCCCCTCACGCACAATGTAATCAAAAGATGCCAAGGCTTCTTTGGGGGTGCGGTAAACATTGGGGGAGATGAGGTGAACAAGCCAATCATCTGCCCATTTTCTCCATTTCATTTCTTCCCTGCAAGGTATCAAAATAATGTTTTCAGTGAACGAGGTACATATAGAAGGGCTACAGGAGGCAGGATCACATTTGCCTTAGCCAGAGATCCTTCCAAGGTCAAACACTCTTACCCAGGTACTCTGATGGCCTCTCTAAAATGCACTCAGCAGAATTATCTTTGGCAAGGCTCCTCCAATCTCCAACTGAATGTAAGACTAAGATAGAGCATTAGGTTCTCTGCTCAGTATGAGAAATAAGCAGGAACAGAAATTTTCCCTCAACAGCATTCCTCTGTGGCACAAAGGAAAGGCCAAGAAGGAAACTGGAGGCAGCTGAAGGCCTGTGTGACCATGGTGGTGGTAACCAGGCTGTCTAACAGCTTTGTTTTGAATTATGTAACAAACACAGCAAACCAACCAATGAGGCTTGAAATACTAACAGGAGTGTGACAAGACTAGTCAGCCCTAGTGGGATTTTACATCTACATCAACCCTGAGTACATATGGAGGAGGCTGTAACCCTAATTGGAGAGCCCAGAAACTGAAGAGCACTTACACTCTCACTTCTTTGACAGGATAGACTTTTTTGGTCTCCTTCTCATCCAGCATGAGCCAGTATTTATTCTCATATTCGACCACCTCCTTGCCTTTTTCAGTCACTGTTTTAACAGGTGGATAAAAGGACACGATTTCTTCTAAGCTATTCCTCCTGTGAACAGAAACACAGTTAGCACTGATCTGGCTCCTGCAAAAAAGGAACAAGAGCAAAGGCCAGATTCAAAGACACAGGCTATAAAATGTATTACTCTAAAAGTAAGTGCACCATGTTCCAGATTCTATTTGAAAAAAAAAAAAAAAAAAAAGAGAGACTGGAACAGCTACTTGCAAATAACTATTATTAGTGCACATACCTTTGTCTGTGGTGGAGCAGAAATTTCTGCAGGCATAAAACTTCCTACCATTCTCAAGTCTACCTAAAGGACAGGCCATAGGCACAACAATGCCATTTCATTCTAGATGTTATAACTGACTAACTGTAAACTCAGTTCCAGGACTAACACTAGTCCATGTTTAAGTAGGTTTTGTGCAAACGGAATCTCACAGATGAGAAAGTACTTCTGAAAGGTACAAGCTTTGCTTTACATCACACACATCATGACATATATAGGCATCACCCATAATATCACAACCAGGCTCAGGTCACCCAGAGCTTCAGAGCCTGAGGTCAGCAAGAGACTTAGAGCAGTCTTCTAAAACTCTACTTAATCTGGGCCCTCCATATTCAACTCTTCTCTCAAAACCCTGTTTTCTTACCTGGAAACAAGATAGGTCTTTATTGCACTGATTATCACCGAGGAGTCGTTCAATTGCTGAAAAACAAAAGCAACCATTTAAAAGAAACTGGTTAAATTGCAAAGGAAATTCTTCTCATCTTTTCCCCAAGGCTCCAAGTCAGGGAGACTTACCAGAGGGCTCCCAGCATTGGCTAGCAGGATGGGCACCTTTCTGTAGGAAGAGAATTTGATTTCTTTCCTCATGATTGGGTTCACTTCCACAATTTCATAGGGCAGTCCATGATAATCAAGAAAAGCTCGGACTTTGCTGCAGAAAGGGCATGTTTTATACTGGTAGAGAGTGAGCTGCAGGCTCCCTGCAGGCAGCTGGGGAAGAAAGAGAACAGAAGATTAAATTTTCTGCTAAAAACATAAACACTACCTTCCTTCCACCTTTATTTCTGCCCTAAATGTTCTGACATTCAGTGTCAACATCTGATCATGAGCATATCTTGGCTATCAGATGCTTTCTTTAAATGGCGACAAATATTAAAATATTCACCATCCACTGGGACCAATAACCTGTTTCTCTACACGTCTATTTAATGTGCTGGAAATTCCTACTCACAGCCAGGAAAAAAAAGTTAAATCCAGGCAGTTTACCCCTTTATGGTTTCTATTCTGTAAAACAGAACTTTATAGAAAAACACAACCATTTGCGGTAATATTCAAATAAACAAAAATAAAGCCTTTACAAGACAATCCTTCCCCCACAACAGCCTCTGTTGAGGCCACAAGATGGGGAGAGCAGAGTTTGCATTTGATTTTAGGCACGTGTCTGCCCAAATTCACATTCCTAGGATTAACCAACCTGGGCACAGCTGGGACAAGGCAGGGAAAGCCCAGGGCCACCGTGACATCAGCTACGGGATATTTGGCAAAGCTGCTGCACCTCAGCAGCCCGACAGGCCGTGCCACTCATTCCGCACACATTACAGAACAAATGCAGCCACCCCGCTTTGTTTCTCATTTACAATTTACTGGGTTACACAACCCTGCGCGGGTGCTGCGAAAAAGCAACAACAGAAAAGGCTCCACACCCCCAAGGAAGC